ATCACACTTTTGTAATAATAAAGTGCTTCATGCAATGAGCCTTGAGAATTACAAAGTTGCTTAATATAGTATATAAAGATATAATAAAACAAACCAGACTGCAATTATGGTCATTAAGAAATTGAAATGATCAATAGGCATCTTAATTTTATTAGGTGATAATTACATTTCTCCGGACAAGTTATTCTGAAATAAAAGCACTTTTCCCTGACCTGCAAAGACATTATTTAAAACTACGGAACTTAAAAAATATAATGACATGATAAAATTATATTTAATGCAATATTTAATCTTAACAACACTGAAACTTTGTGATAAACAGCAGTTAAGATAAAAATTCATAAGTCCGCACGTTAATGTATTTGATCTGTTAATTTTTAAAAAGTTGCCATTTAACTTTTTTTTGGTGAATTACTGTTTAAATAACTGTGAAGGACAATTATGCTCTGAAATTATAATCAACATTCTCAACTGATTTAGGGTATTATTCATGAAAATTATTTTTTGTCTTCTATTTTTTCATTCGTATAACATTTTATATATGCAATGCTTTAAAATAATTTTAGCTATTACTCAACACAAACGTAGAAGACAAGTTACGTACAGCCTTGTTTTATTGCAAAAAACGAGGGAAGAAGGTTAAGTAAATTTAATGATGGATTTTCACATTGGAACCCGTATTCCATTCCAATACAAAAGTTATTCATCTTCACTGTTGAACAAATTTCTTATTGTATTTGCATCTTTGTTACAACTTTTAAAGCCTCTTGTACCCTATGTTTTTAGTTTTACCAAGCAACTGGTTTATTCAAATTTGAAGGGGTTTCAAAAGTTTAACTTTGATCATTGTAAAAAATATCTGGACTTTGTTACAACTTTTAAAGCCTCTTGTACCCTATGTTTTTAGTTTTACCAAGCAACTAGTTTATTCAAATTTGAAGGGGTTTCAAAAGTTTAACTTTGATCATTGTAAAAAATATCTGGAATTACCATATTCTCATAAAATAAAAGAACAATTTTTTTTAACATTTATAAAATCTCTGAGATTTTAAAAACCTGCTACAGTTCTAAAAATAGTAATAGAAAAGATACTCTAGATTTAAAAATCTTACTACTGGAGAAAATGAATACTAACATATAATCTTCTAAAACATTTTCTTAATTCAACAACTGAGACAAAAAAAGTCAGGAAGACTACATTATTTGCAGAAGGATATAACAAATTTATTTAAATACATTTAAGTTTCTTATTTTCACCAATTAATATCATTTTCATTTTTCTTTTAAAATGCTTAGAAAAATATACAGTCATTCCACTATTGACTCAATTCCATATAATTAAGTGTATTTAATAATGCATAACTCAAATCAGAAGGGTACAAGAGTACGTCAGACCTGGAATCTTTTTTAGCATTTGGGGGATGAAAGACTAGAAGGTAATAGTAAAAAGATATTCAGAATAACACCACATAATATTACAGACTCGGTAGGAGTTATTCAGATCTACATGAACCTTTTTAGATTAACGAAGTCATAAAGTCCAATTATATCTTTGTTTGCAATCATTCTTTAAATCTAAAAAACAAAATGTTTAATGTCTTCTCCAAGTTCACTTTCACAAATTTTAATATACACCAGGCCCATGATGCAATCTGGAATTATTTACTTGATAATTATTTTCTTGATAAATTTCTTACAGAGCACAGTTATAAACTGCTACAATTTATTTGACTAGAAAATTGGTTTTATATTATATATTCTCTCATTTAATTTTCATAGTGCTTCTATTTAAGTAAAATAACTATTATCCCCATTTTAAAGATGAGGAAAGGAAAGTCTAAATGAGTTAAACTATTTCACTTGGTTACATTTTGTAATGGTGGAAGTATAAAAGGTCTGACTGCAGAGCCCTTCTCTTTAACCATTACGCTGTATTATATTAAATAGCTGAAACAATGATATATTGCAGATTTTATAATTTAAAGTCAATTAAAGTGACTATTACTATGCTATTTAATTATAATTGTTATATTCAAAATTACTTAAGAAATTTTTGTATTGGGAAAAAGGTATATTATATATAGCTCAAAAACTGGAACACAATGGTATAATCACTGAGGTACGAAATGAAATAAATCTATGAGTTTTCTCTTGGTAATTATGAATGTATTTGTTTTTGGTGGTCATTGCTCTTAACTTAAAAAATAACTCAGAAATCCTATAATAAAAACAATAGGTTATACCTATTTTTAGAAAAATTTAAAGAAATTAAAAAGGATGACAGCAATTTAAATTAAACATAAATGAAATGAAAAAAAGAAAACCACCAAGGTTTAAAACAATGCAATATAAGCAACAATCAGAAATTCCATCAGAGTGTATATGTCCTCAAAAAATTTTGTTCTCCCTAATCAATCAGAATAAAGAATAATACAATGATATATAAAGTCCAAAGTATTTTTTAGACAGTAGTCCTTAGTTCCTTAGAAGTGAAATGCTATATTTTGATTTATGCTTCCTTTTCAAATGATTCTATATTATTTTTTCATAAGAAAAAATATTTCCCAAGTTAATCCTATGTGTGCAGAGCTCAACATTAAGCTACAATGAAACTTAAACACTGTGCTCCAGCTGAGGTACTCTCAGCTACTGCTTCCACCCAAGGGAAATGTTTTCTTGTGATGAGTGTTTCTGTGTACTTCGTGGAAGTATGTCTACCGTTACTGTTGAGGGAGGACATATGTTGGATGCAACGGTACCTTCACAGGACAGGCCATGGGAGGTGACTCCAGAAAGACTCTCTCTGCACACGTTACAGAAGGTGGGACGGGCATGGGAGCAGGCGTACCAGTTATGCATCCCTGAGAAATGTTCCACATTAAACTGGGCCACCTAGAAATGAGACATGAGGACAGATTTGCCGAACAAGAGATAAGACTACAAATGCCGAACTATTTGGAATATATACAGTAATGAGCAAAATTTCAAATCCATCATTTTTAAAACCAAAGCACTTTGCTTTATAGAAAAAATTTCAAAATCTGAATGAGTCTACACAAAATTATTTTTGCATAGAATAGCTCTTGCTCTTTGGCTAATACTTATTCTCTAAGAACACAAGGTGACAGAAGAGATGCTATTTTACCTCGTAAGGTTCTCTGGTCTGTACAGACTTCAGTGAGCTGATCCAATCTTCCATCTCTTTTCGGTTCTCAGCACACAGCATTAGCCTTCTGAATGGAGTGATTATCTGAAAGGGATAATCCAGTCTAATGATTGTAAATACTCAACAAGGAAGATTATTGCAAAACCGAACATCTTACGAGGTAATTCCATTTCTAACATTTTATTTTCTTGATGAAGAAAGTAGGATTCTCTGCAACAGAAATGAGTTTTTTTCTCTGTGTATGATTTGATGTGGTCTAGGAAAGGAAAATTCTAAGGAGACTTTTCTTGTCTTTGTTCCTATTGCTACTTAGTTATCAGGCTTTTTAGCCTTTTTCAAGAGGCTATAAACCCAAAGAAATAATGCATTCTTATTTCATGGAATTTATTTTGAAAATTGATTGTAAACATACTTCAAAACAATTCATAGTAAGCTTAGAATACATAATTTTCAACACAGAAAATACTTTAAAATTGAAAACCAAAGGAACACAATATTAAATGATTTCATAATTGATTTATTATATCAAGAATATTTTTAATAGTTAAGTAATATTGAGTTTACGTATCATTTTCACTGCCTATTTTAATATGATTTATGTGAAAGATTCGCCCCCGCACCCCCCATTGTGTAGAACTCCATGTACTACTTTTTAGTGAGAGCAGGGAGTAAGAATTAGCATAAAAATCCTTTAGTTGGCTTTAGGGAAGAAAATAATTGTGACTTTCATCTTTTTTCATGTCACCAAATAAGGCAAATTAATTACCTTAAGAACCTTAAAGAAAGTGGGATGAAAACTTCATGTGGTTGTAACACCAAAAGTGCTTCAAAGTAAGATTCTGAAATGACTTGTAAGTCCTGTATATGTGTGAATATGTTATTGTGGTTATAACCTTGAGGTTACTAAATCCTAAGCATCTGCTGCAAAGAAGGGACTATTTATTTACTTGTGAAAGAAGAACAAAATGTTACATTCCTATCCAGAAAATATTACCAAATAATAAATTACATATTACTATATAGCAAATAAAAAACTTTCCCAGATTAAAAGCCTCTTGATTAAGTGATAAATCTAAACATTCTATCGCATTATACAGCAGATTTCACCAGTAATGAAAAAGCAATAATCATTTAAAAAGGAAAAAAAGGAACCCTTCCCCAAAGAAGTAAACTAGTAAGCCTAAATCACTACAATTCATCTTAAAAAATAAATCCATTTTCCAAAACAATAGAGAAATCAGCCCAATCTTAGCTACTCACCAGTCACTGCCTCCTCTCATGTGTAATCGGTTTAGGCTAGACAGTCCTTCCTTACACCCAGAAGATTTTAATACATCTGACTGGCACTCCCACTTAAATACAGCCGGCCAAAAGTCACATGGAAGAGGAGCACCAACCATTCAGCTCTGGGTGTTTGTTAATTGCATATGAAACTGAAGAGAACCTCACTTTTGCATTTTTTGTTTTCCATGACCCTCTTTGGATAAAGCTTATTAGTTGGTCACTTCTCTTCCTGAATAAATAGTTAATGCAAAGAGCAATGCGTACCTCATTACTTAAAAGCCAAATGGATGCTTTATTGCTTCAAAATGTTTTTCTAGGACAGCTCATCAAGTGCAGCAGAGAGGTACCATTAAATCATAATCTGCTTCTGGCTCCAGCGACTGGCACGGCAGTCCAGAAACCTCCGTTTCACTGGAATCAGTGAATAAATATCGCCTCTGGCATTTATTTTATTTTTTGCTATACTATGTGATGTAACTATAAGGATTCCCTCTTTGCCATTTATGATTTTATCATGAGACAAGTATTATTCAGAAAAACAAATCTTGCTTGTGATTTTATTCTTTCATTTTGTTCTTTGTTGAATTCTAAGTAAAAGCATGATGACATGATGAAAACTATCTTTAATGCCTTTACATTAAAAGTCTTTAAAAGTCATCATGAATTTTAAAAAAGGTGAGAAAGGATAGACAATAGCTTCTACTTTTTCACACAGCTTTTGGAACTACACGAATGCCTCAATTCTAAATGCTTTCGGCAATATCATTTAATTCTGCATGTACCTTACATCCTAATGAAGTAAAATATATACATTTGCAATTTCTCTTTAATAAAAATTTGTTTTAAAATGAACAGTAATAAGTAACTAAAGATCTTAACACATTTTTAAAATAGAAAGTTAAGATTTCCAGAGGAAAAAATAAATTATAAAGTTATTTTGATTTATAGGCCATAATAATGATTAAGAAATCTACTGATTATAAAGTTACATTGTAAGAAGTCAGTATGAAAAAGAAGTCCTTTGTAAATCATACGATGCAAAGATGTCTGGTTTTGTGGCTGCAGAAATACCTCAGTGAGCAGCCCAGAGGTGCTGGGCTGACTGAGACAAGCCTGACAAGAGCAACTTGAAACATCTTCCAAATTGGCCCTTTCTCTCCTGGGGTAATCCCTCAGCAGGCCTTCAATGCTCTGAGTCCCCTCTCTACCTTTTAAGTTTTTCCTCATGCCAGACATTTGTAGGCAAGAATCTGACAATCATAGTTGTTGACTGACAGGCTCTAGTTATACCCAAACTGAATTCCATTACACTATAGCAGTTTCTCATCTACATGGTTATTGGGAAAATATCTGGAGAAGAGCAAATTCAGAAAATTATTTGGTTCTTACTCTGAAAGTGTATCTGATTTATCTTTATTATGACAAGTGAGTAGGATAGGGGCGATGGAGGGATAACACAGGATCCCTTCACCATGTTGTGGTGGGGAGCTATTTCCAAGGGAAGACTGAGCCTGTTGGGGGCCAAGTCCAGAAGCTTCTGGAACTTCAGGACGTTTTACTTTTCTTGAAGGATCTGAAGCTTACCTATCCAAAAGTGTCCTCTAGTCCCTTTCCTTATCTCAATCCCATTCTTACCTTCTCTGCCTACCACACCTACATTCCCAGAGGATTTTTTTCAGAACATCTGAACTTACTTCAGTAATTAACGTTTTCAAACTGTAACCACCACTCCACTCCCACCTCAGATCCTGTAATACATATGTCTGTTCATCCATACAAGCATTAAGTGAGCATGTACTGCATGCCAAAGCCCAGAAATAAAAATCACAAGGGCTTTGCCTAAAGAGTCTGTAAGGGGGACAACAGGTAAACCAAGGACTGACTTGTCTGAAAAAGTGCTGTACAACACGCGGTACAAAAGACAGACATCTAAATCAGCTTCCTAAGTGCTCCCTCAGATAACACACAAACTCTCTATTAATAGAGACACTGCTCCACTTTGGGAGTTACTGGCCTATAAGAATTGATCCAACGACACTATTATATGTAAACAAGAATCAAGAATATCTCAGTCTGGTAAGGCATGTAAATACATAAAACAGATACAAGGCAATCTGGCATTAAATACGATACTATAGACCAGTAACACTGTAGTTAAAACTTTAAATATATAAATGTGCCCAGGGCAAAAAAAAAAAAAAGATACACATATCCAAATACTGCACTGCTATCTTTCAGTGAAGGGATTACAGATCCTTTTGTTTGTCACTTTTTTTTTGTTTGCAGTTTCTAAGGCAAATATGTAGTAATTCTGTAATAGAAACACTCATTTTTTACTAACTGAAAGATGGGAATTCGAAATTTAAAAACTTGCATTGCTCCAAAGCAGTTCTCAGATTCTGTAGCACATTCAAATTACTAGGTGGTTGTTTACATCCCAATGTCCAGGCCACATTCCAAGTTAATGAACTCAGAACATCTGAGGGTGGGGCCCAGCCACCAGTATTTCTTTTTAACTCCCAGGTAAATCTAAAGTTCAGCCAAGTTTGAGACCCACTGTCTAAAGATATTTTATTGTTCCCCACAACAATGTTAGAACTTAAAAAATGAGAGATGCTTCTAGAGAGAAGTGAACTAGAGGGAACTGTTAGTCTGCAAATTCTCAATTGTAAATCACTAATATGAGCAGAGTGATTCAGCACCTAAACTCTGAAGTCGGACCGAGCTAACCTGAGTCCCAAAGCTAACCTGAGCTAACCCCTTCTCACCTGTGTGGCTGTGGACACGATTCCTGGGCTCTCTGAGCCTCATTCTCTCCTCTGCTGAGTGGGGACAGAGCAGTAACTCACAACTGCAGAGTCAGGTGAGGATGATGAGACAATCAAGGTAAAGCATTTAGCACAGTGTCTGCTGCTCAGTCAATGTTAGCACCACAGTTATTCTTGGCAGTGGCAGAAATTACATATACATTTACCAAGTTCTTCTGTAATGTATTTACTTCCTGTGTAACTGTGGTCCAAGATGGAGGTCAAATGAGCTTAAGTCAGAAATGAAAGCACTTTGCCAACAAGCTAGTCACTGACTAGCAAACCACCAAGATAAGAATAATAATAACGATGACCTACTGACCTACACCTTGGAAAATATTAGGAAAATGCCAAACAACAAATGAGGAAAAAACTGACCCCCCTTAATTGCACCACATCTAACCTTACCCAAAGCAGTAGTATAAAATGGCAAAAGGCTCACCAAATTTACAGAATCAGTCTCTGTACAGCACTGAAAGAATTCAGCATGTCATGTTTAGTGGCTACTACACCTAAACTATTCAAGATATGTGGCTACTCACTTTAAATGAGATCTTTTGATTCTACAATGTAGGAAATTCTGCAAACTTCTCTTCATTTTAAATGTCCAGCAACTTTTTGTTTGGAAATTCTTATTTCTAACCTCAGGTTCGTTACAACAAACTGATCACATCTGCCCTATTGCAGGACTTTTTGTTGAATCTCTAATGATTAATCCTGAACTGCCCTTATATAAATTTAAAAAAAAATTGGGGGGGGGGGTGGCTGGCCAGTATGGGGATCTGAACCCTTGACCTTGGTGTTTTAACACCATGCTCTAACCAGCTGAGCTAACAGGCCAGCCCCTGAAATAAAAATTTATATGCAGTAAGAAGCCTTTATTGGGAGGCAGGACAAGCAGAAAGTTTAATTGTTTTATAATAATTTTTACTGTCTACATTCATTGTCATTTAGGGGATACAATTTGACTTTTGTTATAGGTATATATAGAGA